AACGCCATGTTGGTGTACCTCCGTGGTACACCAATATGGCGGCCGGAAAATAGTGTAAACATCTGGAACTTACTTTGGCTATCTAGGCGACTGATTAACAGTACTGATCAAACAAGCATTTACATAAGCACTTTTCCTAATGCTCTAACTTCTAAAAGACTCAAAATCATGAGATAAGTGTATATTTTTCGACGAACTCGATCGTAGCCTTGTGTCACGCACCTCCATAACCCCGAAATTCAAAATACTCTGGATTCCAGACGAAGCACGTTATTGAGCTGTAAAATTGTAAACAGATATAGATATACCGCCTCTTATGCCTGACAAGGATAAAAACTTTGGTGGCCTTTTAGTTTTGGATTTTAGAAAGTGATGACGTCAGGTGACAACGATCTATAGATGAGTTTGAGACTAAGAAATGTCCAAGGCCAGTTACTTTAGGTTTAGTTAACTAGTTTTTCAAAACTGTCATCCTTACTTTATTCATATGTATTTTTAGCAAAAAATTTTTTGCGATTTTCTGTCAGCGAGCAAAACGGTTTACTGAACCGTAAAGTAGCGAGGGTTTTACCCCGTACGGTTTGTTACGGGTGAGATAATCTAAAGGCTCAGTAGGGGAGTGTTATTGATTTCGAGTAAAGGACTACCATCTTTGTTCTGAGAACGTTGACTGTCAAGAAATGGTTACTATTACATTCGTGTGGTTTTTTTTAAGCTTCATCTATCAATTTAGCTAACTCGATATCGCCCTGACAAATTATTACATTCAAATTGGAAAGCTAACCGCAATTTAAGCAAGCTGGAATGAAAGCTAGCTGGCCCATCATGAGCTCGAAATCCGAAACCGCAAGCAAACCAGAGTAAAGCCACGTTTGATTGATGTTCTTCAACAGCGTTTTTAACAACTTTCTTATAGCATTACTAGTCCTGATCTCAATGGCACATTTAAGTGCTGGGTCATGAGAGTTTCATAACGAGAAAGCACGTGACCCCTTTCCACTCGTTCAGTACATGCTATAGACTGGGCTTAATTACCGGGAGTGAAACTCGAATACAAAAAGGTCGGGGATGCTCGTGGTCTCGCCTAGGGATATACTGAAATCAGGGATTCTAGTCTTAACTTAGGGTGGTCAGGACGAAACGACACTATTTTTAGCTGTCGAAGTATTTTGGATGCACTGGAAAAGATAGCAATTAAAAACGCTCTCATCTCCGCTTCTAGGCTCAATTTTCGCCTGTCTCTCGTGACCAGTCTGCCGGAGCGGGTTCCTTTCCTGAACAGCGGCTGGTAATCGCGGTAGTGTAGGAGCTCTCGTAAGCTTGTTATTCTATTTGTCGTCATTCCAGCAGTTGTTGTTTTGGGGCTAGGGGCATTGCTTCTGTTGTTCGTTCTCTTGTCCTATCAAAGGGTTTGAATTCATTCACGCAAGACCTTACGAGAGCTGCAACATGACCCCGGTAATCGAGCTTACAGTATTCCGTTTTAGTAGTATCTTTTAGGGGTCAAATAAAGCCCTAGCCACGCCCTACTGGTCTCCTTGAGGCGTTTAATTCAAATTTTCCGACGAGCATCTCCAATTTTTTGTCACAAGGGAGGTCCCTCAGGGGCACAATTTCGCTCACAGACTACGAACTGTTCGTGGTTCTCTTGTTTTCCATCGAGAACTCTCGGATTGTACAAATGTGAATGTAAATCTTATAAATAGTGGCCATGCACTGAGCCATACAAACACTAAGCTAAGCTAGTTTACAGGCATGCCACTGAAACAAAGGAACCAAATATTTCAAATAAACGAAACATAGTTAAAAATCCCAACTGGCATGAGGCAGACCAGTTGGCTATTTACAAAGCGTGACCTAGGATTTGAACTCGGGACTACCGAGAAACAAATCCCGCTAGTGGCAGGGTTGAGACCTTGAATTCGGGACCTCTGGATTACAACGCCAGCGCTCTAAACCACTCGGCCACGCTGCCTCCACTCCACAGGGATTGAAAGGAAAATAATTGGCTGCGGAAAACATACGACTCTTCGGCCAACTAAGACTAGAAGGGGATTGCTTTTAGTTCAAGCATATATGAAACTCGTGATCTCTGGTTATTGATAACTCTTTGGGAATCCGTGAAACAGAGCCGTCTTCGGTAGAAAAGCAGACGAAAACAAAAAGAAAGCCTGCCATCGGCTTTTCCTTTCCAATTAAACTGAGAACAGAATGCAAAACTACGAAGGCGTGTCCAACAGAACATTGCAGCTGACCCCGGCCTCCAGAATTGATACTGAACTTCTAGGGTCAGCTATTCCTAGGCATAAGATGGTCATGGCCAGGAGACTAGGTCAGCGACTAGCTGGTACAGTTTCTACATGGGTTCTAGTGAAAGTATTTTTTCAAATTAAACTGGACCCTTGAGATGAAAAATAGAGGTAACTTCAAACAGGTGAATTTACATCTCTGCCAGGCTTTAGGAGATGGGAGTGATGTGCTCAACGTTTACAAATTACTGTTTATTGATTTTTTTTTTTTTTAGAACCAGAACGGCGGGCGACCACTCTACCTTGCCAAACTAAAAGCTTCTTTGGCAGAGTTGCTGTCGTGAATGAAATCAAAGCGAAACTGGTGACAGGGTCATCCCACGTGGTCATTCTTATCGCTCTACCCGGAATGGGGAAGACGGAAGTTGCAATTCGTGTTGGCCATTTGCTACAAAGTGATAATTGGCCTGTCTTGTTCATTGAGAAACAAAAGAATCTCTTGGAACTCTGCGATGAAATCCTCAACCATCTAACAAGTCGCCGCTGGACAACAAGTGACGATATCGTCTACCATGCCAAGCGGAAACTCTCGGAGCTAGAAGGCGACACAGTCATCATACTGGACGACACCGTAAGTGTACAGGGGCCTTCCTTTGATGACTTTGTCAAATTCTTGGTTTCTGCACCAAAGGTTCGAGTAATTATCACCACACAAGAGGATATAGGCTTTGTATCAGCCGGCAACATCCACAAGATTCGTCTTGACCCTTTGGATCTTGCGTCATCCGCGAAAATGCTGACACAGTTGGCACCAAACTCAAAGAACTACGCTGAGGAACTTGCAGACCTTTGTGGTGGGATACCTTTGTTCCTCAACTACGCGAGCGCGTTGATGATCGACGGATTCTGCCCGAGAGTTTTCACCCAAGAATTGAGGAGAAATCCAGCGAAAGTTCTCAAAGGAACCGAACCTCTGGATACTTTTTATCAGAACATGGGTCGCTTTCTCCTGGGGAAGTTTTCCGAGGAAGTGTTGAAGAATTTAGTCAAGCTCTCTGTGTTTCCGTCTTCGTTCTCTACGGAAGACATTCGGTTCCTATTTGATGACGAATTACAGCTGCAAAGCGTTAAGACGAAGCTATTTCAGCGTGGTCTACTACAAATGATCAACGATGAGCTCTTGACGATCCATCCTCTGGTACAGACTTACTGCAGGGAAGAAAGAGACTCCTTAAACTTGGTAGATGTAGGTCAGGCCGCCGAACGCCAGTTTAATCACCATTACCTTGAGCTCCTCAGGGGTCTTCATAAAACGTTCATCACGAAAGATTCCTCTTCAAATGCCATTAGTGGCTTTCGAAAAAATAAAGCTAACATCATGGAAGCTTTAAAAAATTGTCTGAAAGACACCGGCGAAGCACAGGAGAAAGAATTTGCCATAGATGTTGCTAACGAAGTGGTGGATTTCTTAGCGAAAGTTTTGTCACCACCGGTAGAGTGCACTAAACTGTACCAGAAGTGCTGCCAAATCACCAAACAATCTTCCGACGATAAAAGGCTTGTAGACAGTCTAAATTCGAGTGCCTTCCGCCGACTAGACGATTTAGCTCACCGTAAGAGCGACAACACTACTCTTGAGATGTTGCAGGAAGCTTACGATATCGGCAAGAGATTGCCAGAGAAAGAACAGAAAAATGAGAAGCGTGCACACGCAACCACCAAGCTTGGTTTGTGCATTTTGCTTAAGGTAACAATTTAGTTCTAGTAGTTCCATTCCAAAAGTATTAATTCTTCATTTGAATTTTGAATTTGAACAAAACTGTGATAAGCGTGCAAATTGCAAATAATATTGATCACATGTTCTATAACTTCAGTTTCTTTTACCTCAGTGGTCTGCCGTAACCGCAGGTGAGAAAAAACTGTATATATTGACAATATTTCGAAAAACGTTAAAGCGCGGCTTTTGACTTGAAACACGAACTGAAAAGCGAAACGCTCTCAGTCAGGTCAATTAGCCTTGTGCATTGGCAATAACCTTTCTTGCTGCCGTCCATGGCTAGATTGCTAGCTTTCTTCCTTGCGCAGCGCTGATGTGGCAAAAGGTGCCATGGAACCCAATTTTTTTTGTACCTAAAGCACTATGGTTTGGCCACTAATTGCTCCAGAGTCCTGAACTTTGGCTTTGTGAAAAGGAAAAAATTATCTTCGAATTGTTGAAGTTACCTTAGCTGTCCCTTATTTGGGGAAAGAAGAAGTTTCGTCTTGTTTGTTGGTCTCCGCGGGATTACGTTCAGAATTTAGAGGCATGATATATTTTATATATCACTGGTAAAGTGAAAATGTTGATAAATGAACCCGCGGTGACCTCAGAATCCTGTAGCACTTTTAAACGAACCGCTCTGTTTGAGAAAAAGAAAAAGTTAAAGAGGATCTGACAAGTTTTTTTTGTAAAGATTGTTAATCGAGACAAATCAGATGATTAACTCCTCAGAACAAGTGAAACTTCTGAAGAGAAAAATTAATTGGTATACAAATTGGGCAAGTTAAAACAGATTATTAACGATGTACTTCGGATTTGCTGGTTTACTTCACAGGGAGATGTTCAAAGAGGCCGGCAGTTGATCCATGAGGGAATCGCTCTCAGACGAGAATTAGGCGTTCCACTTTATGTGGCTGCGGGAAACTGTGACCTTGGACGTGAGAATTCAAGCATTTTCATGATCTATGCTTAGCTTGACCTGTTTTCGAAAGTTTAATATTTGAACTTATCTGGTTCTGAGCCAGTACTGATAATATAGCAAACTTTAGCTCCGTAACGTGACATGATATGTGTAGAATTGTGGTGTTGCAATCTTAGTTATCAGTTCCATTGTAAGTGATACCTGTCCATTTAAGAAAAAGTGTAGCCCAGAGTTTCACAGCTGTCAGTTATTCAGACATCAAGATCTCAGCTATCAGCTATAACGCTTTATATTAGTTGAAATTTTAGCCAATTTTCAGCGGTCAGTTAAACCCGATTAACACTCTCTCAGTACTGTAAGGCTGGTTGCATGGAATGGTTGCAACCTTTTTTACTGACGCGAGGGCAGAGAATTTCGTTAACGTTTTTGTTCGTATTTGTAAGGAAAAGATAAAAATCGCAGCTTCAGATTCTCCATTAAGTAGCAATTAATTTCTCTAGGACTTCTAAGATGGCTGTTGTGTGTATCGGCCAAGCATAGCCATTGGTTTGTTAAGAAACCCTCAAACTCTCATTGACAAAAGTGATCCTCAGATTCCTCGAGGTTCCTGACGCGTCAATCTATCTCATTTGTTGTCTTTCTATAGATTCGTACCGTCATTGTAAGGAATACGACAAAGCAGTGGAAATCTGGAAAACAAAAACTCTGCCAATTTACAAAGAGTTCCTTGGTGACCACCCGTGGACGGCCTCCATCCTTCAGCATATCGCCTTCGCGTTCATTGAACTTGCAAAAGAAAATCCAACAACCTACGCTGACCAGGCCCAAAGGTACACCACAGAAGCTCTGCAATTGCGAGAGAGGCTGTTGGGAGTACACCAAGACACCGCTCGATCTCATTTCCATCTAAGCCTTGTTTATATCATGCAGAAGAAACTGCGTCCGGCTTTGGAGGAGCTTGATAAGGCGTTTGAATTTCAGGAAGACGTTGTAGGCGTCCAACAGGACACAGTTGACACGCTGAACTTGATGGCAGATGTTCTGAGAAGATTGGGACGCGAAGAAGAGGCTCAGAAGATGACGGAGCGAGAGAAAGATTATCGCACGAGGCTGGAAAAAAGGACTTAGAGAGATGCAGACTTGAGTGGCAATGGAATGTATACAGCGAAAAAAATATTCTTGACTCATGGTCATGGGCTGCTGGAAGGAAGCCATTAAAGCGCACGTAATTGACATGCAAATGCGTCCTTGTCCAATCACAAGCGGAAAGAGTTGTGATTGGATACCTGCAATTAGACGCTCCAGCTACGTGACAAATAGGCGCGCTAAGAGCCAATCATAATCGAGAATTTTGACATAGATACAATTAGTTGAGACATAATAGTTGGACATTGTTATTTGAAGAAACCTCTCTTAGAATCACTCAAACAATCAGATTATTCATTCTCAATTTCTATGATAGTTTGTTCGGCCTTCGGCGTCATCGCCTATCAACTCATAGAAATCCCGAGCTCAAAATCTAATTGCTAAATAGAATAACACTCTTTGCGTATCAGGCACACTCTTTACGTTTTATTGGAAAGAATGCAATTAAATATATATAT